AAAAAAAAAAAGTTAAAATTCTTTCTTAAGCTGCTTATTTGTAATAGATAATCTTTCCGATCGAATGAGCAATTTAATAATTTTCTCCACGCTTGAAATTTAATGATTACAATATCTTTCTTATTTCTCCATATTATTCATTCGATTCTATTGGTAAATCCAAGAAAAAAGAAATCACAATCAAAATGAAATTCAAACTTCCATCTCGACATTTTCTCACAGCGGTCCAACAATGGACAGGTATCGTCGATTATCCGTAATCTGTATCGAGTAAGACAAGCCACGTGGTTAGTGGTAAAGTGCGGACCAACAGCAAAAAGCCAGTGAAGATCCTCCATATGCTGGTACCAGTGGAAACAATCGTGTCGTTACACGCTCCTCTTCGCCGATCTCTCGCCTCTTTTTTTGCCTCATTCCTCCGCCCGTTTCTCCGCCTTTTACCAGCTCTTACCACCAGCCTCTGGATTCTTTCTCGGATTCCTCCTCGTGTATTCTCCATCCGAATCAACTTATCCGCGTGAACAACCGACACGCAACATTCTCGTTCCGCTTCCATCTTCCCTTCCTTCCTCTATTTGTTCTCGAGTTGGACGAGGAAAATTATTGCTTTTCACGGATTCTACTTTTCTACCATTTCTGGAACTCGAGTGGCGTTTATGGACCGCCAGAATGGTTACTAGAGTCGTTCCTCTCGTGCTATCTTCTGTCTCTTCGTTTTATGGGAAGAGAGGATCTTTAGAAGTCTTCAGGAATGCTTATGCGAGATTGAACGTTGGATACGTTGGAAACAGGGTTGAGACGGAACGATTTTCTTCCGCGAAAGTGGATAATTCTTTTTAGAAATATTCCAAATCTTAATGGAAAGTCTCTTGCTTTGTAGAAAGTTTTCAGATTTGAAATTTAACCATTTTTCATACTTGATAATCCAGAATAATTTCTTTCTTTAAAATCTTCCGATTTCTAATTTTTCAAGTTCAAAACGTGACAGACACTGTATGGAATCAGGATGAAAATGAAACGTTCAAAATAAAAAAACGTTTCTAAAAATGAGAATTTCGCGCGAAGTATTCTCAGGAAATGGATTTTCTACAGCCTTTGTGTGATTCTACGTGTCACTGCAAATACGATGTGACATTCGTGGATAGCATACTTCTTTTAACACGAGATCTTCCTTGCGGCCAGTTGTCGATGGTCTATCGAGTCTCATCATGCGCTCATGCGATGATTAACGGTCGCGCGGTTAGGGCGTCCAAAGTCATTAGTCGAGTTATGATCGGTCAGATGAGAGCTAGGTGAATGCACCTATCGTATCTCCAAGCTTGTCCCTGACCTACACCTGTTCATCAACCGAGCCTGATTATCCCTATCATTTGGTATTTCTTATGAATTCCGCGTGATCCACGTAATTCCAGGTTGTTAGCGATTGGAATTCCCTTGTGGTGCGTACGAGATTGCACAAAGTATGTTTTATAATCCCTTCTTTTACGATTTGTTTCATTGTTGCGTCGATATTCAGATCACCGAGTGTTTCAGATTGGAAGAGTTTGATTGATTATCAAGGTTGGAAAAAACTGTTCGAGTTTGTTGATTCGTAGGATAATGATACGTATAATGATACATGAAAAATAAGAAGCGATTTATAGATTCGAAAGGCTGAAAATTATCACGTGCAATTTATCTCGTGAAATTCGTATTTGCAAAAAGAGTAACTTTCTTCGTATATTTTTATATTCTACCGTTTCAATATATCGAATTGACTTTTATTTGCAACTACATACATTGAAATAACTTATATCAGTTAATTTAAAATAATGTGAAAATTATAATGTAGTTTCATTATTTATCGATATTTTTTCTCCTTTTTTAGTGTACACATATCAATCTTAGAATAATCTATGAAATTTCGATATTTTTAAATTTGATATTCAATAATAATTGTATAACCATTGCTACTATTTTTCAATTATATATCGAGAATGATCTTGAAATTTTCTTATACGAACGCTATTACCATTCTACGAAAAAAGAAATAATGGGACATTGGTTAATGCTCATCACAAAAAGAAAAATCTCGATCGATCTACGAGGTAGATTTTGCTACATCGTCATGCACAAAGAAATTGACGTTTCCTCGAATCTGGTTCGACTTCACGAAAATACTTACAGCTTCGTGGTCGCTGGCCTCGTGCGTTAACGCTTCCCTGGTTTCGTTGTGAAGCATGTCGTCCTCCTCGGGATTTGATCCACTTCCGGCCCAATAATCCTCGGTTGTCTCGTCCAATACGGAGTCCTCTGCGTTTCCATCTCCGTTGTCTCCGTTGTCATGGCTCGCCGCCTTTAAAATTCACGTTTACTCTTACCTTCTACGAAAAAGTTTCAATTTTGATTGCCTCTGTTAGATTCTACCTGACATGGAAGCGTTGCTGCTGTCAGAAGCCAGACGATCGCGTATCTGAAACGAGAAAATCATCTTTGTATTATTTTAATTATTCCCAAATTTGTTAATACTTTATGAAATAATTATTTTGAAGTATAAAAATCTAATATGTTACACTTTTCTAATATTATTCCAACAAATATATATACAAATGGAATTTTATTAACGATAAGATAAAAACAACATATTACAACATATTAGATTGAATATTTCACTTTAATTGATTAAGATATATACAAATATGTA